TCATTTTTGGTAATTTTGACTCCTAAGATTACATTTACTTCTCCCAAATCCGTTATCTCAAATTTAGTGGACAAGAAACTGTTTGTTTTGTTAATGGACTCAATGTTAGAACTAAAAATCAACATGTCATCAACATACAAAACTTATGATGATGCAATCAGTACCAAACATCCTCGAATACACACAAGCATACGAAACCATTCACAACAAAACCAAAACTAAGTATAGTTTTATGAAATTTCTTGTACCATTATTCCCATATAGATCTCCTCATCTAGATCTCCATTCAAAATACAGTCTTAACATCCATTTGATGTACTTGTAATTATGAATTGAGGTTAGTGCAAATAATGCACGGATCTTTGAGATGTTCATAACGGGGAAGTAAGAATCAAAGTAGTCTAAAACAAACTTGTGAGAGAACCCTTTGACAACTAGCCTTGCCTTGTACCATTGGATCAAACCATCTGGTCTCATTTTCTTCCAGAAGATTCGTTTGCTACAGATTGGTTTAAATCCTCTAGGCAAGTCAACTAATTCCCAAGTATGATTAGACATTATCGATTCTAGTTCATCAAAAAGTGCTTTTTCTAGAAACTAGCATTGATAGATCTTATAGCTTTTTTAGGATCCTCATATAACATTTAAGCTATATGATCAGAAAGAAAGTCTAAATCATTTATCTCAGAAATAAAGGAAGTGATAAAATTTGGTCCAAATAGCCTTTTACTTCTTCTAGGCTCGAAATTAATTTCTTGAGAAGACCTAGCAGGAATACTAGAAGAAGTGGATAGAATATTTTCTATTTGAGTTTATACATTTAATCTACATTTTAAGACACCCCTACATTTCTAACATTTTAGGATATCCATAAGTGTCTTGTAAAATGTGTAAACAAATACTCAATCATACTAGAGTAATGTTTGTTATGAGTTTTAGCCATAAAACTATATTTTAACAAACTCAAGTTTTGTTTACACATAATTTTATTCTCAAAGTTTTGAGAAGTTACAAATCCTTAAGATTAAAATGCATAAACCATTATGAAATAAATAATCTCTTTTCTTTCCTCTACTTAGGAAAATCACTTAAAGAGATTTAATAACTACAACACACTCTTAGTAGCAATAGTGTCTATCATATTTTCATTCATGATATTCAACATATTAGCCTTAAAGAGATCATCACATATTTTATTTACTATGACTAAGTTTGGTATTTCACTCAACCAAATTAATCTTTACTCTTTTAACTTATACACTAAGTTTAAAGAGTTCTCGTCTTGTCATAGTATTTTATAAATTGAAATAGTGAGCATAGTAATGAACAATGCATCAGGTAGGTTTCTATGAAAGAGATGTGATGCACTAGGCACACTTAAATACCAAGTCTTCATAGAACCAATCCTAGACATGCAATTTCATACTCATCACACTACTTTCCATTAAATTATTTATAGATTTTCTCTTTCTTAAGGCTTTCTTAAAGAATTATGCTTGATACTTTTACTCACAATAGTATCTTATTAAGCATATATATTTTTGACCCACACTACCACCTTAGCCTTAGTAGTACTACCTTAGTCTTTACTACTGATTTTATCTCATTTCATAGTATCCACTGAGTTTTAAAGACTACCTTAAAGGCCCATGCAGTCTAATTCATGTATTTAAAAGAACATGAATTAACAAACAACAAGTCTAAATAATCTGACCTCGTAGGTAGAGTCATAATTTCCAAATAGACTTGTTCATCCTCACCATGCATGCTAGTTCAGACTTTGCATTAGGACCTCAAAATCTATCATGACAATCACTTCATCTGACCCATCATCTCTTTGAATCTTCTGAATTCAAATGAATATATATGGTTAGTAACAAAAATATTTTTACTAACAGTAATAAAATAAAATAATTTACTGATAGTAATAAGATCCATATCTTTAAGATTTTGGTTCCTTATCTTCAGTAGATTGTGAAAATCAAACCCGAATTTAACAACTATTTCGATTTGAAGAATTTTCTCGTCCAACATCATCATCTTCATGATTCTCCAAAATTGCAACGTTATGTTATCTTTAATAATTTCTCAAAAGAAATATTAGTACGACAAGAGAGTTGACATTTATTTTTCAACTTACTATTCAGAAACTGAATAGTTCATAGCTCAACTCATTGTACATGAACCAACCATATTAAAATTCTTAAACACATAATAAAGAATTAAATAAGGCAGGACATGGAAACATGAAACAATTCACTAAGAATAAAACGACCATCTACCACCTTTAGACAATATTGTTAAAGCTTAATAAATTGTCATTAAAACTTAATAAACAATTCAATTGTTTGCTATAATAGAACCATTAAAATCTCTATTCAAAGCTTACCGTTTCTTTTTTCATGATTTTTCATTATTCAAATATTAATCCATTTATCACCCAAATGAATTGTTAATAAAAATTACCACTAATGCATATTCAACCGATGCATCATAAACACAACACAAATGTGTCAAATTTTTAAATGTAATCTTAATCTACATTTAAAAGTTTTTTACTGTTTCATCAAAACACATAAATGTTAAGGCATAATAATAATGCCATAAAACAGCCAATAACTCCAAATCAAAAGTTATAACCGCATAATGATTATAAAACATTCATGTTTTCCAATAAATACCATTTCTTAAAATGATATTATAGTTTTCATTTTTCTTAAACGCATATATATACGTTTCCATTCATATTAATACACATTAACACAAAAGAAATGTGCATATTTACGTGTAACTGCATAAATTAATGCATTTAAATGCATTGACATGGCATTTAATCGTTTCAAGTAATAATTGCATTTTTTAATCTGAACATTATTCAGATATTGTATTACTTACAATCGTTTAAAAACATTTATAATAAGTATTGTATTAATCATTATTAATATTAAGAATGCAATCGTACTAACCTTTTGATTCTTACCATTCCGAAAAGTAGAATGAATTCAAACTTTGCAAAGAAGAGATGTCATGCAGTGCAATTCATATTGATTTTCTTACCGATAATTTCCAGTGATCATAAAATCCATCTTTCTTCACAACACGAACAATAATAATTATTGTCGTATTTAGCAGCAGTAAGAATTCGTTTCTAAATTGTTGGTAAAATAGACTACTGCAAAACGAGGCATTAGCACTGACAGAAAATATATATATTGAAATATATAAATAAAGAACTGATTAATCGTGTCGTGGTATTAACCACTGCCTTAGAAACAAATTCGTCCCGATGTGTGTAATCGCTGCAGTAGGCGGACCGTCCCCCGAGGTTAATACGGTCGCTCCGAATTCCGTACACCCGAAACCGAAGTGGACTGCTGGTGGTATTGCACTTCTGATCGGAAAGCACGGAGAGAACAACTTTAGAAACCACTTGGAGAGTGAATTCTAATTGTAGAGAGTGTATGTTGAGAAGCTGAATTCAGCTCTCTATTTATAGGCTAGAAGTAAGGATAAATTCGTCCAACAAGAAAATCAAATTAAATTTAATTTAATTATGAAATTAAACCCTTTTGTAACTCTTCTTGATGAATCTGGCTCAAAAAAGAGTCCATGTTCATTGCATAAAAATTAAACAGTATAACTCCTGAAATTAAATCATATAACTCTTGTAACTCCTGATATTAACAGCTTGTCTCTCCCATGAACAAAGCTGGAAATCAGTCCAGATACATCTTAAATTTTGATTTAATTTAGAAAAATAACTGTTTAATTTCAGACAACTAATAATCAGCTGTTATCATCTGAAATATTTGAACTTTAACAGTCTCAGTAGCCTATAAATATCAGATGAATCTTTCACATTGTTCATTTAATCTTTCAGAGAAAAATTCCTTACAAATTTTCTTTAAAAAGATAGTATTCGTGTGGACGTATCAAATACACGTATTATCACGCCTTGTTCTCTATCACTCTACAAGGGAATGAAGAATGTAAACTTTAAATACCATTACAATTAGTATTTCCAATTTTATGTGGGATTGAACATTACCAACCATGGGTGTTGTTTTGGATTTAGCCGTGTCTTCGTTCGGGGAAGCTGTAGAAGAGGCTCCAAGTTCACAAGCTCTAAACCAGATCCATATTTCTGCCTTTTCTTTGGAAAGATCGAAGAAGAGAAGGCAATTGCACAAAAGTTCAATCAATGTTAGGTGAAAATTAAACAAACCCACGTGAAGGTGACTTTGGAGTAAACTCTCCCTATAATCCTTCAAGTATTATGGGTAAAATCCTCTCAAGGTTCTCTGATTTTGACCATCTGTTACTTATTTGTCATGATTTAAGCTACATGTTTGGTTTTATTTCATTTTGGTCATTTATCATGTTATTATTATTCCGAATAGTTCTAATGATTTTTATTATTCTTATTTAGGTCACTATTTTTGTTATAATTGCTTGCTGTTTTTATTTCAATTTAATCCTTAAATTTTTTAGTTATTCATTCCTTTTAAATTTAGCATTTTTTCTTTTAATTTTAGTATGTTTTATTTATTTATTTATTTATTACTTATTATTTTTTTATTTAACATTTTTATTTTTCTCTTTTATTTATTTCATTTTTTATATATTTTATCTTTTTTTTCCTTTGATGTATAATATCTATTATATTTTTTGACTTTTTATGGACACTTTTTAACCAATCAAAGGTAATTATTTTGAATTGAATTTTTAAATTTCAATTTAAATTTTAAATTTTCGCTATAAAGACAACCGACAAATTACTTAGTACTGAAAGGGCGATTCAAGATGTTAATCCTTCCTTAACCGTAACCGACTCTCGAACCCAACGTATTTCTGGTAAAAAGCAGATCAGGTAAGAAATAAAGGTGTCCCATCAACCTATTAATCTTTAAAATAAATTATCGGTGACGACTCTAATTCAATTATTCACGTCGAAGCCCAATTCCGGACCAACCGAAAGACGGTCGCGACAACTACAAAACCGGGCTGGTCGTTTGGATCCATCAACCATCGGGCACAGTGGACAAGCAATATCGATAATAGGTTGCCCTCTTTCATCTGTGTTGTCAACACCATTACGCCTTGTTACTACCAACATTTATGGTATGGCGGCTACAGCAGTCGGGGTGTATTGTACGAGTCGATATGCTGCTGATATCGGCAGGAGGGATGCGGTGAAAGTTCGGTGGAGGATCTTACAGCAAGACTGACAACGGGCTTGCTTCAGGCGATTGAGCCCCAACCCCTGGTAGTCCCTGCCCATTAGCATCTGCTTGCTAAAAGTCTTCAACCCGGTCAAGTTGTCTAATATTTTTCAAAGTGTTGTGAGGATCAAAATCTGTCGTTTGTTATTAAGATAGTCGTTTGCTATATGAAACTTCAAGTTAATTGTATGGAATAATAATGAGTACTCTCTTGTCTCTACGTTACCATTTTTAAAAAATTGTAATAGAATTGAACTTCAATTCATAAAATTTGGGATTTTGCAAATAGATTTAGAAATCGAATTTGCCCAAACCCAAATCCACCTTTAAAGTTTTTAACTCAAATCCAGGTATCCAAATAGTGTATATGATGCATTTGTTAGCATCTCTATTCTGTTAGAAACCAGAATCTTTCTTGCTCATGCTTGAATATAGTACAAGATTCTTTTACCCACAGCAACTTCCCCAGCAGGTGTGACCAGACCCAATTCACTTACATTCACCTGAATTTAACATAAAAAACACTTGAGTATCCATGATGCCAAGCAAACAGAAGTCATGATGAATCATTTTTAAGTGAGAAAAAATACCTCGATGATAGTTCCTTTGGTCATAAACCAAGAGGTATACATTGGGCCACTGGGATTTTTCTTCACTCCAACGATTCAAGGTTGAAGGTGCATTTCAGTTCAGGGTGTGTAACATGAGCTTTAGTAAATCGCAATCCTGATGGGCGGATAAAGCGCTCATACATGGGAGGCTTTCTAGTAAAACCATGCCCCACGAATGTGCACTTTGTGATAGGGAAGGTGGTGGATTAATGAATGTTGCTCTTGTTGAAGAATCAAACCTAGAAAGTTCTAGACTAGATGAAGAACAAAGGAGAATGAATAGGGTGAAGGTGGCGGCAACAACTAGGATTTTTAGGGTTTTTTTTTAGGTGCTGGAATCAAGGCAACAAGATTAGAATAAAATAAACAAAAGATAAAGAAATGAAAATAATAATAATAAAGAAATCAAAAGATCTCCTTATGAAGGTGAACGGTAAAGATGATTGATGGTGCGGATAGATTTGTGGAAAATAGATGGATAAGTGTCCTATCAAACCCTCTTAGTCGCAATGAAAAGAAACTCTATAATATGGCTTTAACCAACCCTCCTAGTCATGATAAAAAGGAAAATTGGAGTGTGAAGATTATCTCCCTCACAAGAACTTGAAAAAACTCCAGGAAGAAAGCTTGAAGGCACAAGACAATCAACACTTGCAAAAAGGAACTCTCGTTGTATTATTAATCAAAGAAATTGGTCTTATAAGTTGAATGAAGCCTCCTTTATATAGGGGGTGAGTTCTAAAAGTCCTAAATAACTAATGAATAAATAATAACAAACTAAACATGTTTTAACTCTAATTTCTAATAAAATAAAATAACTAAGAATAATGTTTTAACTCAACCTTAATTCCTAATAAAATAATAAATATAATTCTAAATATAATGCTCATCCTATGTTAAATTATATTACAAATAATAATATAGAATGAAAATTCGTAATATTTAAAATCCAGTATAGAATTTTCTGCATGCATTATCTTCACTAAAATGATCATATCTTGAGTTCCCGATATCGGATTGATGCAATTCAAGAACCGTTGGAAAAAACTAAGAGACATCCAGTCGTACTTCAAAAGACATGTGACCAATACGATCAGAATCCCATTAAAAAAGTCTTCGCAAGTATGCTGATGTTATGGTCTTCTTTTCCAATGCTTGGACAGTGGATCATTTGGAAGAGTTATTATTCTTCTTGATGTGAGCCTTGTGATGCATGTATCATCCTCCTTTTTCTTCAAAATATTCGACCTCGAATCTGAAACATTAAAGGGAGCAACATTGGAATCATTTAATGATTCATTCACACTATGCTTACGAATATATATGCTTTGAATCTTCGAGACTTTGTTCTTCTAATAGGTTCGAGTAGAAACATTAATCCAAAGAATATGTATTATTATTATGGACTCTGGTGCATGTATCATTCCCCCACAACCTCAAAAGATTCGTCATCGAATCTAAATCCAAGAGAAACATTTACTAGGATCAATGCGATGTGTCTTTATGCGTTTTAGTCAAGGTTTCTTCTTTGTAGGAACTGATTTATTGTAGTCTTGAAATCATCTTTTGCTATAAGTCTTGTAATCTAATGTTTAGGTTGAAATTCAACATGGCGTCAGCTACTCTTAGCTTTCTTTATGATTGCTTCAGATATTCTCTGCTGGTTTGACTCGTGTGTGGCAAATGAGTGTTGAAAAACCATGTAAAATGGTTTGTTAAAGTAACCCTTAAGTCTCGGGAGGAGATTTGTGGACTGCAGAAACCGTTGTGGTAGTACATCGTCTACTGTGTTTTGCTTACCTCGGTCTTTACGCACTTAAAGGAGTTATTTTATAGGATGACAACTTCAAGAGTCTTACATTGTAAAAAGGATAAGAAGTACGTTACAATATCATTAAAATGAGTAATAAAATACTTACCTTTCGACTCTCGTAAATCGGACTCTTCATTGATATGGCATAGTGATTAGGGCTTTCCGGTGGTAACCGTTAGGAGGCTCACATAGCACTATTCGACACTCTTGGTGATGGAAGATGGTGTGGGCTAGTTCCGTGTTGCTTTCATTTTTTCATCTTTGACATGGATTCCCTGTGCATGAACTATAAAGCCTAAAAACATAAGCTTATCACTACAAAACACATGCCTGTCCATGTTAGCGTATAAGTTTCTCAGTGGAGAACTTCAAGAGCCGAGCAAACGTGAATGATATGAGGATTAAGAAGAAGATATATAAGAATATCATCCCCAAGGTACACCGTTAAGGTGGCTCCTTTACTGTGTGCTTAGGGTAAGTCCTTATGGATGCATTATGGGGAAACTACATATCGGTGTTCGGTTGGAGGGTATTACTATGGTTTTAAAATATGTTTTAAACTACTAATGTTTTTAAAGGATTTGTATACATTTCTCTGTTTTATTGGAACACACCAGACTCCCCAATTTAATATTCTGAATCTATCACTCTCTGAATACTTCCTTCATACCATAAATTCATGTTTGTAACTGAAGACTTAGCTAATGGAATCTGAATTCATCTCTAGAATCTGATGATGACTGTCCCACTAAGGAATTTATGCTTTATCTTATATCGATGGCATATTGTATTCATCTGGTAGTTCTGTATTATGGAGCTTCCCAAAGTTCACTCTTTACTCACCATTTTAAGTTCAAAGAATCGATTCAGTGTAGCTAATAACTTCAGTTTTGGGAGTTCTTTCGGCTTTAATTATAGAGTACGATACAATGTAATTAGGGGGTATGTAGGTCATATTTTATTTATATATATATATATATATCTGATATATATATACTGATTTATGATTTTATACGTTTTAACAAAATTTTAATTTTTTCCTGGATTTTATTGTGGGTCGCTCTGGTGGCCCTAATATGACACCTCGAATCGGATCGGGTCCCCACATCGGTCTGAGGGTGTTACAAAGTTGGGATCGATGAAATGACCTTCTTTAGGGATTTAACAAATACTTTGAGATGCATGTAGTACAAGCCATCCCTAGGACTTTAGGAGTGCCACACCCTCCACTTGTACTCTAGCTCCTCCGGTAACACCACCCAAGAATCACCTGTAGAGTGTATACTCCGGTGTAAACAATTGAATTTTTTTGTTCGAGAGATGATGATCCAGTTACTGCAGATCAATGGCTTATGGAGACCCTCCACACACTTATACAATTGCACCTGACTCCCGAGGGTAATTTGGAGTGTGCCATCTCTTTTCTTAAGGGTGACGTCATCGACTGGTAGAAGATAGTGAGCTAGTTAGGGAGCTGAGTTTTCCGCAGAGAGCTTTTCTATCATAAGTTAGGGAGCTTGAGTTTTCCGCAGAGAGCTTTTCTTATCATAGTTAGAGGAAATTATATCAGGGAAGCTCATGTCGATAGCCTAAGAGACCAATTCCTCAATCTGAAACAAAGTGATCGCTCGGTGATGGAATACGAGGTAGAGTTTCTTCGGTAGTCTTATGTGCAGGAGATGATTCTGATAGAGTATCACCATTACAAGAGGTTTAGAAAAGGCCTCCACCTCGAAATCTTAACTCATCTTGTTGCTGACCCACCTAAGGTTTTTCTAAATTGGTACGTCAAGCTAAAGCGGTTGAGAGAGTTGTGGGGATGAGAGGCAGAGCATCTAGAGCTATTCCAGAGTAGACTTAGATGGCAGCAGAGTCTTTGAGACCTACCCAGGCACCGAAAAAAAAGGCCAATATTCTCAAGGTTCATGGAGAACCCCGATAGGCTATTCAGGGGATGAGGCCAAAATTCAAATCGTGGTGGTAGATCAGGTCCCATGACACCAATCCAACTGTCATACTTATGGGAAAAAGTATTGGGAGTATTCCACTTTGGGATAGAAGTATGTTATGTTTGTGGCTCCATTGATCATTTTATTCGAGTTTGTCCAGAGGCTCAGAGAGTTACACGAGCCAGATGCAGAGATCAGTTGAGTCGGTGCAGAGGGGTAGAGGACCCTCTAGAGGAGTAGTTATTCTTCTGGCCATATGGGTAGAGGTGTTGTCATGTCTGTAGCTAATTCAGAGTCACAAGTAGCTTCTCGATAATATGCCATGAGAGCGTAGGAGGAGTGTGACCTAGGTGTGATCTCATTTATATTTACCATGTTTCCATTCAGGTTACAATATGATAGATCCAGGGTCTACGAATTCTTATATATGTTATGACCTAGCCAAAAAAGAAACCTCCCAGTCGAAAACTTAAAGATAGGGTTAGATTATCTAGTCTATTAAGGTTATACATTCTAGTCGATAAGATCACAGTCGTTGCCCTGTTGAAATTCATGGTCAAATTTTCCTCACCGACATTATAGAGTTGTCATTCAGAGAGTTAGACATGATTCTTGGTATGGATTGGCTCTCGAAACATGATGCAATTTTAAGGTGTAAGGCTAGACTGCTCAAGCTTAGAAAGAACGATGAAAATAAGGTAGTGATGAGTAATGGCAAACCAGGGTGTTCAAGATAATTTCGATGATCAAGGCTCAGAGGATGACTGAGGAGGGTTAGAAGTTTTCTTAGCGTTCGGTAGATACTTGGGTTGCTAGTCCATCGATTGGAGACATTAGAATCATCAGATATTATGCAATATATTTCTTGAATAATTATCGAGATTCTCCCGGATAGAGAATTAGAGTTCAGTATCAAGGTGTTATTGGGTTCCACTCTGGTGTCCATTGCACCCTACAATATGATATTGATAGAGCTTAAGGAATTAAAGGTCTAACTTCAAGAGCTTCTAGAGAAGGGTTTCATTCGACCATGTACCTCTCCTTGGGAGCGCCGATCCTTTTTGTAAAGAAGAAATATGAGTCATGAGGTTTGTATCGATTACGTCGGTTGAATAAGTTAACCATAAGAACTGATACCCTCTCCCTAGGATAGATGCCTTTTTTATCATCTAAAAGGGGCTTGTGTTTTCTCAAAGATAGATTTGAGGTCGATGTATTACCAGTAAAGGTTATGATGTTGATGTAACTAAGACGGCGTTCATAATAAGGTATGGTCATTACAAGTTCATTGTGATGTTTTTGGACTTACCAACTCCCCAACTGCATTCATGGACTTAATGAACTGTGTTTTCCACTCGTACTTAGACCAGTCATAGTGGTTTCGTAGATGATATACTGGTGTATTTGCGATCTGAAGAAGAGCACGGACGACACCTTCGCATATTTTACAGACTTTTCTAGATCGTCAGTTATTTGCTAAGTTTGGAAAGTGTGAGTTCTGGTTAGCTAAAGTATCCTTTTTGGGCCATGTAGTTTCAATAAAATGTATTCGAGTAGATCCTCAGAAAATTCAAGCTGTGTTAGAATGGGAACCGCCAAAGAACGTGATAGAAGTTCGTAGTTTCATAGGTTTTACGGCTATTACTGTTGGTTTGTAAAAGAGTTCTCAATGATAGCCGCACGTATAGTGAAGTTATTGTAGAAAGGAGTTCAATTTGTTTTTAAGCTATGATGGCACATTATGTCCCTAATAACTCAAATAAGATACTAATAATGTTTGGGGACCTTATTAGGTTCTTTATGACAGTTAGAAGGGTCGAAGATACTCAAACAGGACATTTTTGGGTTTAGTATCGATATTGTATAGGTCACTACCGATATTGTTCATTCACTACACAAAAATAAATGAGTTTTTTAAGTAGGATAGCGATACTCATGCTTAAAGTATCAATACCATAGGCCATATCTTGATACCTGAATGAAGGGTATCGAGACTGAAATTATATAATACCATTTTGGTATTGCTACTCATGAGAGTATCGATACTCCCTATAGGTGTAACCCCCCAACCCTACCCGACCCGGATACGAGTCTGAGGTGTCGCATTGACTTTTTCAAATAATTACTTTTACAAAAGAATGAAGGATTTTAAATTAATTAAAATAATTGATTTACAAAGATATCAGAGCGTATACTATTCAAATCTCTTAATTATATGCCACTATATTCATTAAACAAAATACATACTAATCATTTCTTTCTGATCTGATCTTCAGAAAGGAGAGGCTGACCTGGCTTGCTCCTCTTTGCTCCTTAATCTTCTCGAAACCTACGTGTGAAACATTCACACACTAAGTCATAGACTTAGTGAGGTATAAAACATATAATCAAAACTCTAGATATTTAACTATGCATGAACATTTCACATTTCAAATATTAACATAATATCGACATTATATAATAATTCATATTACAATTATATACATGCACATATATCAACACTATCATAATCACATCATTGTCATTATTCACACTATTATTACTATCATTATTATTTGCATTCATTCTTTTAGTCTTATGATCTTATCCTTAACATTTATAGATCATATAATACATTCCACAAGCCAAACAAATAGCATTACACAAGTTTTCTTATGTTCTTCTTTTATGAGCCCATGTACACATGTGAGAACTAAAGATATGTGAGTATATAGAGGTTGTGCACTTATGTTGTCACCACACCTCGTATAATTCCCACAAGGGGCACTTAAATTTGTCCTGAAGGACCACATAACACATATGTCCCGAATGACCACTCCTTAAGAACCATATAAATATTCCAATGGACCAAATAAGCGTACCATAGTATCGCATATATGTTCCAAAGGATTACATATATGTCCCGAAGGACCACGTAGAACCTCGACTCTTGGCATGCCAACTATACCTCTAGCTCTCATGACACATAATAGGCATTATCTTTTATCATTTCACATATTAACAAATACACATACACATTCTCAGAGCTTCTTATTATATCATATGGCTTATCTTTTGTGATCATATAATCATATCTTATAATCACATAGCTCATATCACATGGCTTATCTCATATACACATGTTCGCATACTTGATAATCACATAACTTATAACTTTCCACACATGGTCATAGGTCAATATTATGTAGCTTATTTCACCTTTCATATATTCATAGAGTTTATTATCACATCATTAATATAATAATCACATCACATGCATTTACACATATCATATAACATGTACCACAACACATCATACATATACTCATATCAATAACATGTTTATATACATTATTTCATGCATTCTAATATAGGAAATAGACTTGTCTCAAGTCTTATTTCCATTCATCTCATATACTAACTAATGCACTCACCTGGCCTCACTAGTCATTCGAGCACTTATAACTCTTCCCTGATCTGTCCTATCTCATTGACTCATCTGTACTTGCTTTTGATTGATATCTATATAATCATATTCATAGATATCAGCAATCTAAACATCACTATTCGATTATAATAATCTTCAACCAAAGAATAGTTTTATAAAAAAATCAGTTGAGTAGTATCGGTAACCTCCTCAATGGTACCGATATTTCCCTAACTGTGGTATCGATACCACGTCGGATATCGATACCCCATTTTGCATTCTAAATACTTTTTTCAAAAATTTGTACCGATACTGACCTTGTGGTATCGGAACCTACCCTCCAGGCACTGATACCCGTACCGATACTGACCTTGTGGTATCGGAACCTACCCTCCAGGCACTGATACCCCGTGAATGCCTTTTTCAATTCAGACTTATGGTATCGATACTGTTCAACCAATAGATACCCCTATACCAAATATCGCTATTTTACTCTTGAAGTATCGGTACTGGATGAAGCAGTACCGAAACTCAAAGGCCATATTCACTTTTTTAAGCCCGAGATTTTACCCTTATCAGCTCATTCCTTCATTTCTTTATTCCCTCTCATATTCTTAACTTAAGTAAACATACTTAAACCCATTTGTACTCATCTAACACACCTTTATCTTCAAATTATATCCTCTATAGAGAAATCAGAATCATACCCAACTTTTCAACATGTTCTAATTTCAATTTTATCATTTCATCTCCTTAATTCAACTATTGACAGTCAAATTTAACTTTCAAAGCCATTTACTCCTTGTTTCAGTAATTCACTTAAAAAAACTATATTTACTTAATCTCTCATTACATATCCAGCTTTTAGCTTCCAATTCTCCTTAAGCTTCATTAAACTTTCCTAATGCTCCAAGAATTAAAATCAACTTAAAAATTCAAAGAACAAAAACAATTTGAAAACCACTCACCTGAAATGGAGCTTACGGGAAAAAAGAAGAATGAGAAAAGAAGTTCCAGACATTTATTTCTTTTCCACCCAAACTCCACGTGGTTAAATCCCTTATAAAGGGGAAATAAAAATATTTCCTATAAAATGACCATTATACCCTTTCCACGTTCAAACTTTACTATTAACTCCTATACCAATTTTCCAATCAAGTCCCTGAACTTTTAATCTTTTTTGAGCTTGGTCTCTCTAGTTTTAAATCTTTCATTTTGGTCATTAAACCTGACTTTTGGGATGTTAAATCTTCCCTTTTTTAAGAAAATTCGTCCTCGAATTTTCATCACACACATTTATAAGAACATATCTTCTAACGTTCTCATGTTGCTTCATTTACTTAATCTTTCCTGTTTACCGCTAGTAAACTTACCGTTTTCCCACTCAATTATGCATATCCAACCTTTATAAATTCATATAGTTTCATTCATAATATAAACAGTAACTCCAATCTTTACTCCTCAATATCATGAATCAATTGATTTCTTTCATCATTTTCTAATTGCTTTGCAACATAATCCAAACCTTTACTCATTCCTTACTCCTTGTCTATAATATGATACACATAATCTCTTTATCTAACTATACATACTTTTCTTACTTCTAATCAAACTTATAATTTGCACCTCAATATAACCCTTGTCATAATTCTTTAACTCCATCTTCAGTTTTCTATCTAATTATTCTTCCAGAAATCAAAATCCCTTTATAACATGGACCATATTTTTCCTTCATACCATATACTCTTTCATATCGCTTATACTTATCCCTGATCATTAATCTTTATCTTATTTTATAACTATGATAGTTAGCATACTTGTATAAACCTTATTCTTTGCAAAATCCTTATCTTCTTTACTCTTCAAAATCTTCTTACAACATAAATCATATATTTCTTCATGTTTCAATACTCTTTTCCCATCACTTATACTCATCTCTGATTATCGATCTTTATCGCATCTTCATATTTGATAGTCAGCCTTACTTATACAGAACCTCTTTATTTATCATCTCTTGTACTTGTATTTCCTTTACTTAATTCATCAAATACCAAATCCAAATAATCACTTAATCTATTAAAACAATT